AGGAATGTTTTTCTCTGAATTTTTCACTATGAACAAATCCTTACAAAAGGAACCTTGTGAAGCCTAATGAACCTATTGGCCTAGCTCTGTCTTTGAGCTGCTGAATCTTTCCTCTGTGTTTTCATATAACTAGAGATTAAATAAGGACATTTTTATTTTTGCTTTGGGTTATACATGTTATACATGTATTTCCTGATGCAGCCTAAATTCTGCCTTCAAATGTAAACAAACAAAACCCCCAAATATCCTGCTCCATTAACTAAAATTGACTAAGCCATAAATAATAAATATATATATAAAGATATATATAAAGAATGGGTAAATGGGTCTATGTCATTCATAGGTGCAATAAGCACTTGCTGTATTTGCTTCATGTTCAGAATTCTAAAAGCACAGAGATAAGGTTCTTTCTGCAATAAAGTTACTTACTGATGCAGCAGCACAATAATTCATTGCTCTCTTCTTTCTGAGAGGACTTTCAAAATTCTCTCGTACCTGTTCTGTGGAACAATGAGGAAGAGTGTGCACTCCTGGGACTTGGTAATTTTTTCAGACAGAGTTACCTATTCTCATTCTGAGACTGAAGAAGTTCTGATATCTGTTGAAAACACCAGGGAAAATTATTTCTATGTTGCTGAACATCCTGTGCCTTTTGCAGAAGGAAGAATCTCACCATACTGTCTCCTTCCCTGACCCTTTGTTCCTTGTCTGTGCTGTTTATCTTAACTTCTTGTGCAATCTTTCCTCCTTTTTTTTTTTTTTCCTTGTGAAAATACCCATGATAAAAACAATGGCTGAAACTGACAAAGAAAACAGCACTAGAAAAGCCTTTTTGATTAGAACAGTTCCCCAGCTCTGAGCTGCCAGGAAGTGATGGAGTGAAAAAAATATTAAACAACACAAATAATATTCTATAATCAAAGTTATAGGTAGTTTTGAATTTCAAAACAACTCAAATTTTACTGAGCAGTAAAGGGCTTGGAGTGTGGCTGGACAGTTGAACTAATTGTCTTCCCCTTTTGAGAAGGAGTTCCTGAAACAGGAATTAGAGCAGCTGAGTGAAAACAGAAAGCAAACCAGACTGAGCTGTTGGTCTGCAAGAACAACACTGTCAAAATATTTTGTCATAAATGTCACTTTTTATATGAAAAGTTATTTGGTATGTTTACCCTATCTGCTTTCTCCTCTTTTCCTTTTGTGTTCTCCCTGCCCACCCAGGAAGCAGTCTCATTCCCCTGTATATTTAATGATTTCACCAATAGAGCACCAATATAGCTCTTAACTTACAGAGATAATTCTTCTGCCTGAACTAGGACTAGACTCTAATGTGTGCTGACAGTTGCCCTGCTGCTAACAGGCAGTTGAAACTTCTTTTGGAAGGCATGAAAGATTACTATTTCCTGTCTACAAGCTACCATGACATTCCTCAGGACCCACTCTGGCTTCCATTGACACAACCACCCTGCTGGTGACCAGCTCTTCCTAACGGGTGTATTTGAGCAATGGGGAGCTCAGCCCAGTCCTTACCTTTTCTTCAGATCCAGTCCTACAGTTGCTTGAGTCTTGTCTTGAAGCCTGTTTGCCATTCCTGGTGTTGTGTGTCCAAACTGCTTTGAGAGCAGGTGCTCCAGGGGGGATTCTGGTGCTTCTGTACCTGGCTTGGACAAAAGCAAAGAGGTAAATGACACCAGGAAAGGAAGCAGAGTCAGGCAGGGTGTCTGCTGTGCTCCAACTGCAGTCTGCCAGAGTTCCATGGTCACTTCTGCATCTACCTGGCATGAATCTACACTAAACCTAAAGGGAAATGATGGGATTTGTCCCCTTGTCAAGGGAAAATTCCTTGAGACTGATGATTATCTTTTAAATTTCTGTTATGCCTATTTAATAGTGGGATTATTTCTATTGGAGAACAGTGTGACACGGGGGTAGGATTGGCAAGAATTCCACAAGCTCTCCCTGCCATTAAGTGAAGAAGCTCCTAGAGGCAGAGGAAAGCTCAGTGTTACAACATAATCCTTAATTGTACTGTATTCCTTTTATTTTATAAGCACCAAGGCTGTGCAGTCTCCTGCCGGCTGGTGCAGCTGAGTGGTTCCAGGCTGCAGCTTCACGGCGGCACCACCTTGTGGTCGTGGTAACATTTGTGGGGGAAAAAGAGCCTTATTTCTTAAATTGACTTTTGAAATGTCACCATCTATATTTTTTATATTGTCTTACAGGCTCTCCCATCGGGAATCTACCAGCAGTTCTCCTCCCAAATCTGTTTAAAGAAATACAAAGTTAATAAAAACAATATCTGCTTCTAACTTATAGGAAGAAGAGCAGGAGGTGTAGTTTTGCCTGTGGTTTGCAGATTAAAAATAGCCAAGACTTCTGATGTGCTGTAGGGATTTTCTTTTCAGTTGGAAGGTAAGACCACTTGAAAACATAGCCCAGTGAAATGTCCAGAAAAGCATCAATTCTTTATAATATCTAATATTACTTGAGGATGACAGAGGAAAATTAAGAAGTCTTCATACCTTTTTTAATTTAAAGATGGTTCAAAACTTCTGCTGTTTTGTTAAGGTCCTTAAAGTAGAATTTAGGTCTTAGTTTGCTTTAAAAGAACAGGTGGCAAGACTATTGTCTCTTAGTCAAGAGGAGCTTGGATTGATAAGTCTGATACATTGCATTTTTATCAATATCAAAGCATTCTTAGGCAAAGTGGTGGGCAAACCTGAAACTGGAGGATCAGGAATGGTTTACTACTTTAGTCAAGCACACAGGTAATTTTTAGCACACAGTAGTTCATGATAGTTTAAATGCTGAGAGAGAGAGAAAAACCCTTCTATACAGACTTTCTTTATTAAAAATCTCCAAGTGCCAAAGATTTTGTTCAAACACTTAGCTATGGGACATAAAAAATTTATTGAAAAATACCTATTTATTAGATGTAATAAATATGAATAATACCTGCTCATATGATTATATTCAGTTCTTACTTTTCTCACACACACCGATTACAAGACTGAAAAGAGCTACAGTCCAGTAATTTATAGATTTCAGGAAGTTGATGGAGGGTTTTCCAGTGCTGGGTTCTTTCAGGAAAGCTCCAGTTCAGACCATTTCCAAAAAATCAAAGGATGGTGTAACTGGAGATAACTTGTTCCAGAACTGTGAAGCTGTCCAGGAAATCTTCCTCTTCTATTCCATGTTTAGTGTACTGGTGAATATAGGCTCTGTGTGTTGAGATCACAGTAGGAAAATGGGTCGGATGTTAGAAATCAGTGAAATCACATTGTATAGTTGTTAAAACAACTTCAACTGAAGATTGGGCTTCACCAGTAACCATGCTGGGTAGGTACTACTGTGCTCTCTTGAACTCATTTTGTAATTCTTACTTATTGATAAGTCATGACTTTTTTTTTCTTTTTTTTTTCTAATAGCTTTTCTAACTTTGTGGATTGCTTAAGGAAAGAAAATTACAGCTGGCAAAGCTGGGCTAACTGGGAATGGAAGGAGAAGTGATTAGTAAATGAGAAAAGGAATTTGTAGATTTGAGATGCAAAGCCTAAACCTGTGTGTGGGGGAGAGCTTGCTTCTCATCACTGGTGTTTCTGTAGCAGGTGGGAAAACCAGGAGCTGAGATAGTGGAAGCAGTTTCTTTCCTTTTGGCTATTAATTGCAGAATCCCTGTGCTAAAAATTAATCTGCTGTGACATCCGGTAACCTTGGCTTCATGATGATCAAGGTAAAGGGGCAACTATTTTCTAGGTTTCTTGGTTCTACAGAAAAATCAAACTAATAGCATGGGAGCCTTAGTAAACACACAAGTCCCCTAGATATTTCTGAACTGAGCCAGGAACTTGTTTCCTGGACTGTGCAGCATGTCTGTACACACTTCAGAAACTAGATGCTCAGTAATAAAAGAGTTTTCTGTGTTATTTTTAGAATGGTCATACTGGAATGCACTAAATTTGGGGGGGTTTAGTACTGAGAAAATAGTCAAACTGACAGCACTAGAATATGTGGTCTCACTTATCCACAGAACATAAGAAGCCCTGTTCTGTTCCTCACCCTGCCATCATATTTCAAGTCTAAAAATGTTTCCACCTAAAATGCAGGGACAGTCCTCATGCTTATTCCTCACTGCTTTGCTGAAGGACTGAGCTGTATTTACAATGATCTTGCTAATACTGGAGATATTGGCAGCTATAAATCAAGGATCAATGTAATTGTTTTCACTTACTTGGAAGCAA